TGACCCAAGAGCACTCGTGATAGTGGTTAACGCGTCGAGTTTACACGTTGCACTGTCATGGTTCGACTCCCGTTTGAGGTGTTGATAAGACCTATGTGAGGTCGAAACTGCAGTCCACCCTTGATGAGAACACTTTTCGGGAAAGTAAGGCTATGTGAAATTCAATTGTAACATCAGCTCTACTCATATCAATGTTGAAAAATTCTACTACCAATTCTTCGTCATCTTTATCAAAATATGGAGAAAATATCTCATATATCTGATTAACTGGTAGTCTCGGAAACCTACTCAACAATAGTGAAAGATAATTAGTGAAACCTTTTAATTTTCTTTTGCTTGCTTGAGTCTATATAAGAGGTAATATAGCACCGGATAATCTTCTTTATCTAGTGTTAATATGAGACTTTTACAAGAATTACTTCCATTTCTAATTATGTCCATCATAAGATGGGCGAGAGCTCAGCCCGTTTTTCCTCAAAGCAAAGGAAGATGACTATTGGGCTGTGTAAACTCGAACGTTGTGTTAAACTCAAATGACTGCAGTACAACGAGATTTAGCCGTCGTCTTCTGATGAGATCAACCTTCGAATCTCTTCTTTATGCACTTTTATACAAAATGAAGGTTTCTCTAATTAAATAGTTGGGATATTCCACTGCTTTGGAACGTATTTGTCAATAAAATCAATCACACTACTTATATTCTTTAATAGTAGACCCTAATACTTTTAGTAGATCTGGAATAAAGATGTTATATAAGTCTCGAAACTCTACTTACATACGAAAAATAAGGTTGTTAATCACCTTAATTCACATAGTGTGAGGACACACTGCTAGTTAACTTTTTGCACACACTCGTATGCCATGACTCATAATAGCTCTATAGGAACTGCATTAAGGATGCTTTCATATACCATGTTTTATTTTAGTTTCTAGTATTTGACAAATCAAAGGCTAAGCCAGGTATAAGTCCTAAGAAGGAGCCTCAACTGCTCAAATCAGGCCGATTCTCCGACACTCCAATCAGAGGTCGACTCCTAAGGCTCATGAAGTGTGCATTGAGAGGAGCTCCTGGTTTGAGGTCTCTTTATCCCTTCTCTCGGCATAATCCACTCTGTGGCCTTTCTCCAATAGTCTGAAAGCCTGCGTCGTACCGGCAGCACCGACCGCCAGACATGAACTTCTGCTTGCCATTTCAGAGCCCATTTGCCAATAGTCGCATTCCAGCAAAGTCTGGCTATTGCAGCCAGAAGGTCTATGCTCCCGCAGTCTTGGAATCATAATTGTAAACAGCACCTCTCGGCGGTAC